CTCAACAACCAAGACACACACACATACACACGCACACACAAAATCCACACCATCTGCTACACCTTACGCCTAACAATCCAATTCCGAGCCAACAATATGCTTGGAGGCGCACTCTCACACAGAGGGTTAAGAGGGAAAGGGTTAAGAGATATTTTGGCCAGCCACATTGCAACGTATGACCAAGGCACATGGCGCAAGCCGCATGGGGAATGGCACACGCATCTCCAACGGCTCACGGACAGCTACGTGAATGTGGACGTGATGTCCCATCTCCATTTGCGTTTCAAATTTAAATTTAACCTTTTGTCTTAATACGCCAATGGGGTTGGCGATGCCGCACACAGCCAAGGACGAGCAACAGGGCGGCGGCAACAGCCAGGACGAGGTCTATCCCCATTGAACACAGGCTAGGTTGCCCAGCTCTATATCGTGTGCATATGGAGCAGCATTTGATGCGTGTAATGGATTTGTGGAGAATGGGCCACGGACCACGGACCACGGACAGCCCATGGACACCGGCTTAGGGCGGCTTATTAGAGCTACACATGTATGTGGCTAGCAAAATGGTACAGGTAAAGCCGAAGTTACGGCATGAGCAGCTAATTTTCGGATTCAGTGCCAGCAACTGACATTAAGTACGATGTGTGGACTTGTCAAAGTCACTTGACCTCATCAATTTGGGTCTAATGCGCAATTGATTGATGAACAGCAATGGGGAAATCCTTAACCAAGCAGCTCAGTACTATAAACTAAACAATCAAAACATATACTACATCTAGATACAAGATGTTTGGTATAGCTGACTTAAGCAATCAGATTCATATTATTCATTTGAGGTGGACTCATGTCAAAGAAATTTCAACGTAGAAGACGAGTTGTCAGCCCCATTGTTAGATTTACTATACCTATTCCTATTCGTGTACGACATGCCAATAGTAAAGGAACATCGATGCTTTGAAGTGATGGTGAAATAAGCTTATGTGGAAAGTCCTTTGAATATGATTTTTCCATTTACACCAAAAGCACCTACGTAAAGTTGCGAGCTACAGTTAGGTTGGAAATGAAAATACCTTGGGAGATGAACGGAAAACTTCGCAAAGGTGATGAAATTTTCAAGTAACGGCAGCTGAACCTGGTCAAATGGCTCGACGCAGTTATTAAAATCAATTGTTGTGCCACGGAAGGTGTTATTTGGCCACTGCCAATATTCAAAATGGCCACCTGAGGGGTGGGTATGCCAACGAATTGCGTAGTGGACATACACAAACCAACGCGGACAAAGAGAAAGAACAACAGAGAGATAGAGGGAGACAGAGAGAGAGAGAGGTAGAGTGAAAGAGCGGGAGAATGCTATCAACATAAAAGTCAATCTGTCCGAGGGGTTGAATGTGTACAGCCAGAACAGCCCAGATCAGACCAAGACCAAAGCTCCGCAGTACGCATTGACCCCTTTGCTTGAAACGGACAACGGCCAGAACAACGATGGCTGAGGCAGTGGCACTGGCCAGCCAACCCACCCTCACACCCTGTCAGTCTCCTCTCCTCTCCKCTACTCGACTCGACGCGACTCGACTCGACTCGATTGTGCCATTGAGTCTAAGCTGCCAGCTCGTTAGTGTTGTTGATGGACGGCACCGAGGTAAAAGTCCTGAAGTGGCTGCTGGACCTGGTAGTGGTGGTGGTGGTGCTGTTGATGGTGACGGGGGTAGTGGTGGTGGGAGTCGAATGGGCCGAACGTTTGAAGTGCTTCGAAATCGTACACATTTATTGTTTGTTTGTTGTCGCAGTAGTCTCGCTCGCTCGCTCGCTCTCTCTCTCTCTCCTTTCTCCTTCTGTCTGTGGCCATATTTTTATTGCGATTCGAATTGAATCCGAATTCGAATCCGTTTCCGACTCCGAATCCGAGCCCATGGTCCACCCCTAATAGCTAACGGACAGCGCAAACCGGCCATTACTTCAACCCTATGGGCACAAGCCGAAGTACACTTTACAGTTCCATATTCAGCGGGGGCTCGACCGTGGGCATAAGCAGCCCATTTATACAATTACATTTATAAATGTTACGCTCTGATATCAAACAGACAAACAGATAGACCCACACACATACACACACAAACACACACTCGCCATATTATTAAACAAATACCCTAACCAAAGGCAATACAATTGAATTTCTCGAATGGCCTTTGACAGTGAGTTTTCCGCCTTCGCATCGCTGCTTAGACGGTTTGTGTGTGTGTGTAAGCCCATCACCCAACGTGGAGCACTCACTTCCTTTTACTCTGTCAATTTGATACTGTACAAATTGCCCATAATAAGCATGTATGTGCCCCAAACGTTGCTTTTTCTATGTAAACAGGTCTTTAAACTTTTGATACACCTCAATAAAGCTGGAAAATAAGAAGCTATTCAGTTGAAAATAATACTGCTATACTGCTATACTGTTATACTGTTATACTGTTATACTGATATACTGTTATACTGATATACTGTTATACTATTATACTGTTATACTGTTTTACTGATATATTGTTATACTGTTTACTGTTCTACTGTTATTCTGTTATACTGTTATATTGTTATGCTGCTGTACTGCAAAACTGCTACACTGATATTCTGCTATACTGCTCTACTGTCCCGTTATTCTTTTAGAATTAGTCGATTAAAAATGCTTCATTAGAAGTACACAACTTACGCGCTCAAACGCTCATCAAACCTACCTCCCTCGATCAACATATTACTACTAATATGAAATTAATTTTGCTTTAAATAGTTTTGTTAAGGCATTAAAATAGGTTCTAATAAAATTTAACATAATAGCAATGATATCAAATGTAACTAGATCACTACACAGTACTCAAATTATATAAATACTTTGCTCGGGGAATACTTTCAAAAGTTTCCAATCAAACACTTTTCGTATGCGACCCTCATTGTCAACGAAACCTTTGCTCACGGAAATATCTCCAAAATTCATCTGAAGTAAAACGTGAAAAAGCACAGTCCAACATTGAAGCAAACAATGGAAATTGGCTAATTGATGACACTTTGCGGCGGCCACTTGACTTGATCGGGTGGTCCGATCGGATTGTCGAAGCTGTTCGCCCGTAAAACGCGCTCGAGTATCAGCTGTGAAATGCGCAGAGCTGATGGGTCCAATCGATAAGGCACCGATGGCGACTGATAATTGAGTAGTGCCGATTAGAAAGAGAAAGAGAGAGAGAGAGAGCGAGTAATCACACACAACCCGTTAGGCCGACAGACGTTCGATCTCTGCGGCATATGTGCTCGAGAACTTTGGTAATGCGCGATCGTGACGCCACACATTTGCCTACGATCGGGATGTGGCTGTGCGCCAGGGTTAATTCACTTTTAACGTAATTTGTAAGCACTTCGTGCTACCCCCTCGGGACCTCTCGACGTCGCGAATTAGGCAGGCAAAGGAGCTCGCCTTTTGTGCACACTCATTGCCAACCAGCGAGACAGAGAGCGACTGAGAGGCAGAAACAGAACCACTACCTGGCAGACCCAGTATTCGGAATGCGAACTGGCATGGAAATGGGAACGGGTAATGCACATTAAACACTTTGGCATATTTTGTTATTGGGACGTTCGCGTTGCATGCGTAACCCTTTCGTAAATCGAGTTAATCCCGTAAACGCAATGCATATGCCGATCCTAAAAACCAAACACGAATCCCCTACCAGGTAACGGCACACGCACACGCACACACACACACACACACGAGGGCAATGTTAAAAATTGCGTCAATGGAAATTATCATTTTTCATTTTCAGTTTTCGGCTTTTTTATTTTTTTGCATTTGAGTTTTTGGTTGGCTCGGTTATTGGGGTTGCGCTTGGCTCGCTGATGTTTCGCTTTGGAAGGTCTTGCGGCCGCGTCTTCCATTCAGATCGGCTGCCGGCTTCCTGAAGTGCCTGTGACACGTCGTCAAAAGACGGGACCGAGACCGGGACCGGGACCGGGACCGGGACCCAGGACCCGAAGATCGCAAACAATAACCCCGAAATGTCACCGCTCATAGATGTTAAATGGAAATGAAAATGCAAGTTCCACTCGAAGGGTAACCAGATGCGGAATCAGCGAAAGAAGCGAGTCGACTCTCAAACGCAAGTCCATACAACTAAAGGCCAGCAACAAGGTGAACATGTCAGCCCAAGAAGCGACCGATGTATTCATTAAAGACGGCCAAAGAACGTGACAACTATGTCAGGAACTTTGCCTGGTCACCAAGCAAGCACTTAGCATATTAATTGGATTTGTCTTCTTGCTTTAAGACGTTTAATTGCTAAAGATATTATAATACAAAGAAGTTGTATGTAAAATAAGCAACTGAAAATAAATGATATATTATGCATTAAATGTTCTTTAAACAAATATTAATTTTACAGAATTGTATGTAATTATTTAATGCGCATATAAATGTAAAGAGTATACAATAGTTGGTGCTTAGGGGTTTCGGTAAAGCTGCTTATTTTTATTAATTGAGAGCCGAGAACGTGACTTGTTCCAGCGAGCTTTTGTTAAATGTCATCGGACATGATTTGGAAGGAAGCCTCTGCGCCGCTTGCTCTCCAGTCAGTGCAGTCTCAGCGGCTGGTCTCACCCCACGCTTCGAGCATTGTTTTTGCCCAGCCCCGACTCAAAAGGCTGAGGACAATGCGCTGCGTGCCAATATTGGGAAGTACGGCCTGTCACATGTCACCAAAACAATAGACGCAAAGGAAGTGCTCGAATCAAAGGCAATCAGTGACGAAGAGGGACAGAATGAGAAAGAGAGAGAGAGAGAGAGAGAGAGAGAGAGCTAGATATGTACAAAGATTGAAGTGGAGTAGGCCATGAGAAATAATTCCACTTGGTCAGTCGTCGAGTAACATGAACAAAATCTTTTCTCTCATAACATTACTAAACATTTATCGAACAAGACTCAAATTTGTAGGGCTGAAAAAATTGAAAAAAATTTTAAATTTTAAATTCACTTTTAACTTATCCAAAATTGCAAATATTTTATTCATTTAACGCTCGCGCATCATTTGCATTGAGATATTCTTTCAGTAATGGCCGGCAACACGAAACGGTATCCGAAGTTGCGCTTTGCTCTGATCACAGAGGATGCCCTAGATAAGTTGCGCCCCGAGACGAGACCGACCGACTCGCACCTAATGGAGGTCAAGGATATGTACGAGACGATTAGTAATACGGTGAATCTGGCAGTAGAAAAAAAGCTAAGGAATCTCAGGCTGCACAAACTAGATGAGATTATTGAGGAAAAGATATCCCTATACCACGATCGTCAGCGAAAATCACTGCGTGGCGAGGAGTCGCCCAAATCATATGGAACCGAGGAGTCCACATACACAGCCTCTGACTACACATTCAAGCCAACCAAGGTTCGTGCTAATAGATTAGCTTCTCCCTCACCGAAAGAACCACGAACCAGAAAGACCAGCAAGAAAGAAGCGTACACCAACGATTTTCCTTTTAAGCTCAGGACCTCCGATTACAAGGCGACAACATCTAATAATAATATGACTAGGAGTGGGAGTGGAGCTCGACGAAATTCGGTCGCCGAAATGAGGAAACATGACTCGTCTCTCGACATCTCAGCAAAATATTTTAAAGACTTGAGTCACCGAAACAAGCGCAAACAATGAAAAATGATGATGATGGCAACCAAGTGGACTATACTCGACTCATATTTTCATTTATGATTATAGTCATGCCCATGTTTCATTATCCCAGACGATTCTTTTAAGCCGACCACAGATCATACGATCGATCTAAAACAAGCTGAACAGTTGCAAACTTCAAATATGCTGAAGAATTTGAGAGATCTCATCAAGGTGACATAACGTCCTACAAATTCCAGGAATCATAAATCTTTTCGCTGAACTAAATTGTAAATTTCTTATACTGCCAAGTATTTGACTTGGATTAAAAATTTATGTTTATATTGAATCAAACAATAATTTTTTCTTTACAAGAACTCTTATTCCTGATTAACAGGCTTCAACGAAAGATATTTACATTTAGTTCGACTCCAAATGAAAGGTATTATAAATATATTCGTATATATCTCTCTCAAACAAGGAGCTGGGGAAAAATACTCGTGCGTGAATGTCGGGGGTCATATGAATATGAATATATTTATTGCAGTTCCGATAACCACATTTCAGGGCTGCTCCTCTCTTGCCCTTAACCTGCAACTAGTAGCTGAGAGTTGTTGTTGTCGTCCTCTAATCCCTGAAATATGTAAAATGAAAAATTGAAAAACTAACTGACAACGCAGCAGTTGTAAAAATGTGCTGAAGAAAGGGCTTCGGGCTGCCTGAGTGGTTGGGTAGCAACGCTTGGGGTTTGGGGAGGTCGAGTGGTACCCCCACACAGACACACACACACAGTGTTTGCCAGCTTATCAATGCGCTGCAGACGAGGGCAGAGCATCAATCAAGAATTTCCAATGAATGGCTATCGAGTGAATTAGAAGGCCAGTGCCATTTTTTTATTTTTTTGCGTACCACAACTCTGCTTACCCTTCAGCCGAATCAGTCCCCAATCCCCTTGCCCATTGCCGAGCATGTTTTGCGTATTCAATTGGTAGTATGACATATATTTATAAACATTTTTCTGTGATACCCCTTGAAATTGATTGAAAAGGGTGTTATATGTGTGTTATATTATAATTTTATTACTTTTTTTTTTAATTAGAAGACATATATAAATTGTTTTGTTTCTCTAAATATAGTAAAGCCAAACGCAATAAAATGCAGACTTGGCTCGGAAAAAAACAGTCTAAAATTTAAAGCTTCGAGTAGACAAACTTCTGTCAATCATAGATCCGCTCTATTTCTCAAAAGTTTAACAAGCTTAAAGTAAAATCTAAATACAACGATTAATCGCAAAGGAAAGTCTTATAAGGAAAACAGTAGTTGAGATGAAAATCTGTTTAGTTTTGTAAGTTTGAAGGAAAGCAGCCTCAGATACTTGAAGCCGTACAGTGCCAACAGCAGCTCAACTAGGGTATCTGCTAGTCGAGTCCCACACAACAAAATGCTCTAGCCTGCTTTGTTTTTATATACATAATTTTTTTTCGTTCTAGCTGCGAAATAGTCGGCAATATTTTTGCGGCTTAATATGTGTTAAGAGAGAGAGAAAGAGAGAGGGGGGGGGGGGAGTAATGGAGAAAAAATAAAAGAAAAACCTTTGCCAAAGTCAACGGAAACGCAATTCAAAAAAAAAAAAATGCTCGGCCTGCGACTTGCCCTAGAATCATTCGCTAAGCGAGGGCGTCAGCTAGAGCCGGAACGTTCATTGGGCATCTGGCGAGGGGGGTGAAGGTAGCAGGGAGGTGGCGGGCTGTGTGGGTCTGTCGTCTGGCTTATCGTTTGGCTGTAGCCAGTGACAGGACATAACATTACCCTTCGGTATCTACGAAGCGCCATGCGTGGGCGCTGCTGACGAACGGTCACCCCGCGGCCACCTTCAAAGGAAGGGCGGGAGGGCTTGGGCATGGGGTAAGGGTTAAAAAGATGCTGACTAAGTACTTTTGAAAATTGCTTACATGCGTTGCGCCTGTGTGTCCTGTGAGCGGTCAGGAAGGGGGTAAAGCAGTTGGCAGCAGGGTTCGGGTTTTGGGTATGATCCGCCCTCCGTTTAACGGTAATACATTTTCATATGCAGCGTCTGTCTGGCTGGCTGGCTGGCTGGCTGGCGTTTCATCCTCCAACTCATAACCGATAGCCCAGCCTCTCTCCGCAGCAAGCTGCTGCCTGGCCAAAGGACGTGCAGTGGACGTTGCCAGGCGCTGTATAAACGACAAACGTCTAAGGAAGGACATGAAACAAGTGTTGGGTGCCATGTTTATATTGTTGTTGTTGTTGTTGGTGCTGCTGCTGCTGTTGTTGTTGTTGTTGTTGTTGTCTTTCATTTCATTTCGTTACGTTTCCCACGTTCTCTTCTATCTGCGACTCGCTCACAGCAGCTGTTGTTGCCATCCTTGTCCGTTCTTTTTGAAGCCTGGCTCGTGTATGTCTTTCCATATTCATTGTTGTTGTTGTGTTGTTGTTGTTGTTGTTGTGCACGTAATATAAAAATTCAGCAACGCGCAAAGCTTCACATATGACAACTTGCGCGGACAACAACAAAAAGTCTAAGTAGAAGCAGCAGCGACAACAGAGGACAACATGTCACTGAGGCAAAACACAAGAAGCGCCAAAGACATGGCCATCATCATCGTCATCATCATCATTGTCATCATCATCTTCATCATATGTATCATCATAATCATGTTTGGCCAAGACGGCTCTGATATTTTTGATTTTTTGAAGCGGAAAATCAAACGCAACGAAATGTTTATACGATGAAGCAACAGCAGCCACAACAGCAATATTAACAGCAGCAATATTAACAACAGCAGCAGTATCAACAGGAACATCCACATTAGCGTAAATGTATTCTTTTTGCAGCAGCAATATCAATTTTAACAGCAGCAGCAATATTAACAGTAACATCAACGCGGTCATAAATATTGCTAGACCCGGCAATATGAATGACATATAGAATAACAGCAACATAAGCTTAACAACAGAAATATCAGCAACATTGCCACACAGACTAGCAGCAGCATTATCAACAATAATAACAGCATTTGAACTAAAGAGTTGCTGGTCCTTACAATGTGCAATATGAAGATGTTGCTGTTGCTGTCGCTGTTGCTCTTCTACATAACACTGTTGCTGTTGCTGCCGTTAATATAGCAAAGTACTGCTCTTGCAGTTGCTGAGTTTCTTCAGATGTTGTCGCTGTTATCTACATCATTGCTCACATATTCTGTTGGCATTGATGCTGTTTCTATCGGTCAGTTGCTACTGCTGCTGCTGCTGCTGTTGAATCAGTTTAGTTCTGTTGCTGTAGCTAGTGTTTCTACTGTTGTTGATATTACTTATATGTTGATATTATTATATGCTGTTACTATTTCATTTTCGGCCCTCGCTGTTGCTTGATCCAGTGCTGCAACTGTTGCTGCTTCTGTTAACGTTGCTGTCAGGGCTATCGCTGTTGTTATTTGATGATTTGCTGTTGCTAGCTAATGTGTGGCTGCTGTTGCTGCTGTGACTACGCCTGTTGCTATCGTGCATTTGTTGGAGATGTTGCTGTTGCAGATTTTGCTGCTGGTATTTGATTTTTGGCTATTGCTGTTGCTTGGTCTTACGTTGCTGCTGTTGCTGTTGCCAAGACTACAGCTGTTGCTGTTCGTGCATCTACTAGAGATGTTGCTGCTGGTGTAACAGCAATAGTCAGCATCTGATTTTTGGCTGTTGGTTATGCTTCTTCTTATATTGCTGCTGTTGTTATTGCCATTTCTTCTGACTATGAATCCTGCCACTGATGCATCAGGTGATGTTGCTCTAGTGGCTCTTCCTGCTGCTGCTGTCGACTTATGCTGTTGCTGTTACTTGCTCATGTGTTGCTGCTGTTGCTATTATGTTTGCTATTATTGATATCACTGATACAGCATGTTCTTTAGTTGCTGCTACTGCAAGTTAGCTTACTTATTCCTTTGCTGTTGCTGCTGCTGCTGCTGTTGCTAGTCGCCTTGATATTGCTGCCTTTTTAGTTGTTTTTACGTCAGCGGTATTTGCCTTTTGCTGTTGCCACGATTCTTGTGAACGTGTAAACCTTTTCCCCTGTGCTTCGTATCATTGTATTTGTTGTGTCTATGGTATGTGTGTGTCTGTGTGAATGCGTGTGTTGGTTGAGTTTCAGAAAATTGCATTTTTTCATATCATTAGGTTTTATTGGTTTCTTCCTGTTAAATATTCTTGCCCACCCAACACAAGCCCCACAACCCCACAGCCCCACAGCTCGTCTTTCACACATATGCGACGCTTGTGTTTTCTTTTGTGTGTGCACTGGGTAAGCGGACAGGGGGAGGGGGCAAGCCAGGAGATGGCGCTTCGAAAACAACAACGCGTCAAAAACAACAACGCGTCGGTCGCGCTCCAAAAACAACCTGAAACACACACACACACACACATACACATGCGAGTGCGCGCATGGCACACGCATCATATCATCGTATATTGTTTTGTGCCTTGTCTACAGACCCCATCCAGCATCGCTGCCTCCCAGTCTCAGCCTCAATCCCCGTTCCAGTCACAGTCCCATCCGGACTGCGGCCAGCGTCAAGCTGAGCCCAGAGACAAGCGCTTGGCAGCAAAGTCTGGCCATGTCAGAAGCATGACCCTCCACCCAGCTCTGTCGCTACGACTGCTGTTTCTTTAAGCCCCCTCCTTCTTTTAGAACGAATCATCCCCCCCCCCCCCCCCCTCCCCCCGTCCACTGATACGTAGCGATAAATGCAAGTTGGCGATTTCCTTTGTTGTTTTTCTTAGAGAAACAACTGGAACTCCATATTGAAGTCCATTACGTTCGCTTTACCTGGTTCACCTGCTTCCACTGAGCGTGGGAGGTGGCCCCAACAATGCGCATCGATTTGCCAGTTGTAAGCTCCAATTAAATGCATATCAAATGGTTTATCAAAACAACTGAAGAAAACACTTGTGAAGCCATCCAAGCATTCGCTTCTCTATATTCATGCCCCTTTAAATCTATTAAAAGGCTCAGCAAAGTCTCATGAGTTGAGCTTGTTGGCTAATTGATGGAACACACGGCATTTCAAGTTTTGCAAACTGTATATACATAGATATTTAATAAACTATTATAGTTAATGTATCTAATTTATTTGAGTTAAATTTCGAGTCACATTGAAAAAAAGAATCTCCCATCAAGTATACTAAATAACTGAATGCCGATCTTATTTTCCCCCTGTCAAGAATTACTTGGATGTATAGATAGCTAGATATAAGAAATTCCAAGAAGCTTATATACAATATAATCTGGTATGAATTTACTGTCAGCTC